GCACAAGTCTTACTCTTGCTCAGTTCGCAGGGATCCTTGGTGGGGCTCAGGAAACCAAATTAGGTGCCAGCTTTCAAACCCGGGTTAGTAGCGTTCTAGGCACAGACCTTACCCACTTTTTCCTTATGAATCACCCCTGACAGTGCTAGGGGGGCATGTGTGATACCTGGGGGTCAGCTACTTGCAAGAGCTTTGCCTTTTGTCTCTCCATCCTCATAGCTACAAATTCTTGTTTTACCATTCCATGGTAGTATTTATTTAATATTTAGAATTTCATTGAAGATTAAAGATTTTTATTTTTTAGTACAGGTTAAAGGGATTTTAACAATTTGCAACCTAGAGGTTTATTTTGCTCATCAGCATACAGTTGTAAGATCGCGAATTTTGTGTCTGTTTCTCTTTACAGGAGATATGAAAGGTGAAGTTTATCCATTTGGTATAGTTGGAATGGCCAACAAAGGGGACTGTCTGCAGAAAGGGGAGAGTGTCAAATTTCAGCTGTGTGTTCTGGGCCAAAATGCACAGACTATGGCCTACAACATCACACCGCTGCGTAGGGCCACAGTGGAATGTGTGAAAGATCAGGTATGTAGTATCGTCTCTAGATCCTAGTTGAATGTCCTTGCCTACCCCTCCCCCCTCCATTTTTTTCTTTTCTTAGGTGGAGGATAGGGTGTCAGACCAAACTCCAGATGCTCCTAGCTTTGTGTTCAGGGTTTACTCTTGATGATTAAGAATTTGATTCTTTAATTGATTATTAATTGATACTTTTATTTAAATTGTTAATCAAATAGTCACCAAGATCTCATTTTCATTTCCCAGTGGACAGCTTTTGGTATTCTATTTTTATTTCTTCTTCGTTTTCAGTGATCTAAGGTAAATTTTATGTTTTTAGGCCACACTCTCAGAGGTCTGCATGGGCTTCTTCTGGTTCCAGATTATTCTTCCAGATTATTTCTGCCAGGGCTCTGGGGACTATATGTGATGCCAGGCATCAAACAAGAGTTGGCTTGCATGCAAGGCAAATGTGTGTTTCCAGCCCTCTCCATAATTGTAAAGACTTACAAAGCTTAAACAATTAGGGTCTGAGAGATAATACCGGAGTTAAGGTACTTGGCTTGTATGCTCTAAACTCCATTTATATTCTCAGTGTCCCAAACAATGCCAGGAGTGACCCCTAAACTCTGTCAAGTGTGTTCCCCCTCCTCCTAAAAATAAGGGGAAAATGAAAGTTTAAAAATGTTTTAACTTTAAGATAAAGACAAAAAGCAAATTATGAAGAGGGTAAATTTCTCAGGAAGACCACATGGTAACATGGGTGAGGCCCTGAGTTCAGTCTTCTGTCTAAAACTTTAGCTCTGATGGCCTCTGAGTATTGCTCAGCAGAGATGGGGCACTCCTAGCAATGCTCCAATGCCCCCGAGCATTGCTGGGTATGGCTTCACTAGTAGATGAATGACACACTTGAAAGAAACACAAGTAATTTATATAATATTTGGAAATTAACATGAGTGAAATAAGTTTGGAGTTGAGATTTCAAGAAAATGGGCTTTTTTGCACTTTAGACCAGTTTCTTTCATAGATCATACAGAGAACATGTCTAAAAGTGTTCTAAACTCGAGGACAAAACAAAACTCTTCGTTGGTACTCACAAGGAAGGTATTATTTAGCTGCTGTTCACTTTCCTTTTGTGATACTTTTCATTCCCTTCAGATACCAGCTTTGTAATCATTTGCTTAATTAAGAAATCCTGTGTTATATAGGAATGTACCAAACAATCTTTCCTTTCATGCAGTTAAGCAATAGGATTTTGAGACTTACCATTCTGAAGAGTTTTGCGGTCCCTAGTGCTCTGTGAGTTTAGCACAGGTAGTTGAAATGGACTGTCCAATGTTGATGCTTGGTTTTCCAACCCTGTTCCTTAAGGTCAGGCATTGTACTTCATTCAGAGTACAGTGTTCCTCCCTCTTGTACCTTTTTTAAGCAGCTTTTTTGTTTCTTTCTTAGTTTGGCTTCATTAACTATGAAGTCGGAGATAGTAAGAAGCTCTTTTTCCATGTGAAAGAAGTTCAGGATGGCATTGAGCTCCAGGCAGGAGATGAAGTGGAATTTTCAGTGATTCTCAATCAGCGCACTGGCAAGTGCAGCGCCTGTAATGTTTGGCGAGTCTGGTAAGCTTTTGTTGAATTAGTCTCCATCCTAATCTCCATCAAGTTTCTTCACTTTTTCCACCACTTGTTTTTTAATCCTTTTTTGCTACTTTGGTTCCATCATGGTGTGTCCGAATTAAACATTAATTGGGCGTGTAATATATTTTAGAGCTTATATTTTTTTTTAAGAGATTCTGCTTGAGATTCTAAATCTTTCTGTCTTTTGTGATCCTTATAATACAGCTTAGTAGTTTTAGTGCTTATGTAATTGGGGGCAGGGTGAGAGGTGGTTGTAGGTGTCTGCCAGGAGCTCCTCTGGCAGACTCAGGGGATCATACGGGGTGCAGTGATTGAATTCAGATCCACAGCTTTCAAGGAAAACACCCTACCCAGTATACTATTGCTCCAGTCTCAAGACAGTTCTGTTTTTTTCCTAAGGTGGGTTTGTTTTTTTGGTTTTTTTTTTTTTTTTTGGTTTTTTAACTTCTGCTACCTCTTTTTCTCTGTTAAACTGTGCAGACCAGTGTGGGGATAACCCTTAACAAATGATTATTCCAACTACTATAATTTTGTAATAAACCTTCAGTTGTGAATAAAAATATAAGCAAACTTGTTTGTCCTGTCATGCTAGCTGAGGCAAGACTCCCCTCTTATTAAAAGTGAGTCATTTGGGCAATTAGAAAACAAACTCCTTTGCAAGTACTTGCTTTCTTCCTATTCAGTGTTGCTCTGCCTCATGGTTCTTGGTTTTCCTACAGCGAAGGCCCCAAAGCTGTTGCAGCTCCTCGACCAGATAGGTTGGTCAATCGGTTGAAGAACATCACCCTGGATGATGCCAGTGCTCCACGCCTAATGGTTCTTCGTCAACCCAGGGGACCAGATAACTCAATGGTATGGAGCATATAAATGATGAGGGCACCAGCTAAGAGACTAGCGTGACTCAGGGAGTTTAGTGCAACAGGGAACCCTAACTAAGTATTTGCCTGCAACTCGGTAGAATTCCCTTTTATTTATTTATTTATTTTTAATTTTTTGGGGGGGTCACACCCAGCGAGGCACAGGGGTTCCTCCTGGCTCTGCATTCGGGAATTACTCCTGGCGGTGCACAGCGGACCATATGGGATGCTGGATATGGAAACCGGGTCAGCTATCACTCCAGCCCCCCTACTAATTGTTTTTGTTTCCTCCTATAATTCTATCAGCAAGAGCACATTTCTTAGTTTTCTTGATGCCTTACACTTAGTTTAGGGTAATACTTAATCAGGGCTTACTATAGATTAAAAGCAATTAAGAGAAATGCTTTTGTGCTTTGTTCTGGGATGGGAGGGGGTGAATACAGTAGTTTTTATGCATCCAGCTCACTAATCTCAATTACATCTCTTCACAGGGTTTTGGTGCGGAAAGAAAGATCCGTCAAGCTGGTGTTATTGACTAACCACATCCACAAAGCACATCATTAATCCACTATGATCAAGTTGGGGGGATTCTGGTGAAGGGTTCTGAATATCTTCCCCCCCTTCATCCCTCCCAGAATCTGGAATACTTATTCTATTGAGCTATTACACCAGTTTTAACACCTTCCTCATGTTATGTTTAAAAAAAAATAAATAAATTTAAGAAAACCATTTTAAAATTATGCACAGTTGCAGCCTGGAAAACTTAAGGTGGCGCCTTATAGTATCAATTTTAGGAGCTTTATTTGGTGCATTTAACGCAACTGGTAATTGCAAATCCACTTCGCCTGTGTAAATGAAAAATAAACATAGACTGTTATTTTGTTGGCCCTATGAAATTCTGCACTTGGTATTTAGTATATACTCTACCTTCATTACTTCTGGCAAAATGTTCTGCCTTAGCATTCAGTTGCATTCTCCTTTTATTTCCTTTTCATTATGCTTTAATTCTGAGGATCATATGAGGGTAGAATATATAACTTTTAAAAATTACAAAAATTTGTATAGACAAACCATTTCCTTAAGTTGATGGCCAAAATGTTTAAAATGTTATTTTTTCATATCATTTATAATCTTGTCACAGTCCACTTAACAAAGTTTGGTTAGATTTCAGTAAAAATTATCTTACAGAGTAGGTTTTTTGGTCCCTGGGGTGGGTGGGGGTTTGAGTAACTTTACTACAATTAGTATGGATGGTGCAGAATTTCATGCAAATGAGGTGTGCCAGCAGTGTGATAATTTAAAACATATTTAAACAAAAATAAAGGTCAAATGCACAAATTTGCTGCTGCTTAGACCACTGCAGCTTCTAGGACCCAGTTTCTTTTACTGATTTCAAAACAACAAAACAAAAGAAAAAAAATAAAAAAGTTGTGCCTGAAATGAATCTTGTTTTTTTTTTTTTTATAAGTAGCCGCCTGGTTGGTGTGTCCTGTAAAGTACAGGCACTTGACCCTACGCATAGCTTCTGTTCACTCTGTCACAGAAAGAATTGGTTTGAATTTGAAGATCTCACCGTGAATTGGCCACGTAAAGGGTCCCTGGCCATTGGACTGACAGCTTTTTCAACCATGGTGACAAGGGTCAGCTCAGGGGATTGTGGGGGAGGGCACTTTCATCTTCCCCGTTGTCGTTTAAGGGTTTGATCTCTGGGTAAAGAGGCCATTTATCTTTGTAAACATAAAACATTTTTGCTTTCTCCAGTTTTCTGTTAATGGCGAAAGAATGGAAGCGAATAAAGTTTTACTGATTTTTGAGATTCTAGCCCCAGCGCTTTCATTATTGAAGCGAGCCGCGGGGCGGGGCGGGGCGGGGCGGGGCACGGCCGCCGTGTGACGACATCACGGGGGGCGGGGCCTGCGGTGCCGGGGCGCCGACAGATGACGCGGCGGGCGGGGCCGGAAGTGCCGCTCCCAACTGGGGGCTGTTCATGGCGGTGCCGGGGTCTCCAGCCTGTTTAGTGAGTTCGGTCTCAAACCCGCCCGGAACGGAAGTGGCCCAGCTTGAGGTGAGGGCCTGGCGGCCGCCGGCTCCAACTCGGGGCGCGCGGGCCGGTGCTCGGTCCCGGGGTCTGGCAGTCCCGCGAGCGGAGACAAAGGCCCCGCGCCGGCCGCCGCATCTCCACGGAGCTCTCGCGGGCGGGGCGGGCGGGACCCGGCGCGGCGGGCGGGGGTCGCTCTGGCCTGGACGCGGGGGCGGGGGGGCGGACTGCGCGAGCCCCTCGAGTCCGGGCGCCGAAAGCGGTCACGCGGTCGAGCCGAAGCTTCACACACTCGCTTGATCGTATGGATTATCGGAAGCATTGACGCCCTGTGCTCGCCAGCTGACCCGATTGCTTTCCCGCAGGTTCCTGCTGGTGTGAAATGACCGAGTACAAACTGGTGGTGGTCGGAGCAGGCGGTGTCGGGAAAAGCGCCCTGACGATCCAGCTCATTCAGAACCACTTCGTAGACGAGTATGATCCCACCATAGAGGTGAGGCGGCTGCAGGCCCGCGGCCCCCTCTGCTCGCCCCTTCCCGTGGGTCACTCTTAGCTAAGCACTATTCGGGAGAGACGATAAGGAACCACTTTGGTTATGGTTTTCGGTAATAATAGGCAGTTTTCTGTGCTTGTTCATTTTGATGAGTTGGGGAATATTTTCTAAAAAGTTTTCAGTTCTGTAGTTCTTTAAACTTGCAAACTCAGTGTTGTACTTAAATTCGTTTAGTAATAAACACAGGCCATACGTAGCACAGTTGAGTAATGGTTGGGGGTTGGGGTTATTTTGGTGTTTTGTTTTTTTTAAGGCCACGCCCAGTGGTGCTCAGGGCTCACTCCTGGCTCTGCACTCAGGGATCAGTCCTAGCAGGTTTGGGGTCCATGTGGGGCAGAGAGGGTTGAGCCCAAGCAGCAGGGGTAACTACATTGCAAGGAAGAGTTTGTCTTACCTGCTGCACTGTTACTCCTGCTCTGATCTCTTTTTAGATGAAGTAGCCAAAAATGTGTAGAAGTAGAAAGGACTTGAGATTTCTAGTCAGTGTATCTAAGATTTCAGTCAGGTTTTGCGTTTTAGTTACTGACATGTAAATCATAGTATCTCTGAGCTTCATTTTTCTTATCTCTTAACCCAGACTTGACCTTCCTACCACAGGAACGTTTGTTTAAGCAAATATGTTTAATTTATTTTGATAATGGAAGAATATTGCATAAATATTACATAAAAGTTATTTTGTGGGACTGGAGTGATAGTACAGTGATTAGGGCGTTTACCTTGCATACAGCCGACCTTGCTTCAATCCCTGGCATCTCATATGGTCCGCGGAGCCCACCAGAAGTGATTCCTGAGTACACAGCCGAGAGCAACCCCTGGTGCAGCCCATTCCCACACATCCCTCAGAAAAAGTTACTTTGTTTTTGTGGAATTTCAGTACGTTCCGTCTTCCACCTTTTAAAGATTAGGTGATTTTATCCAATTTTATCCAATTAATATTCTAACTCTAGAAATGAAATTTTTGGTTTGGGGCAACATCCAGTGGTGCTGAGCACTTACTCCTGACTGCTTCAGGGTTATGTCTGTGAGTTCAGGGCGCCATGTGGGGTACTGGGGATTGAACTCAGGTCAGCTGTGTGCAAGGCAAATACCCTACCTGCAAGCTATTGCTCCAGCCCCTTAGTGAGATGTGTGGGTCTTTTTTTTTTTTTTTTTTGTACATAAATGCTGTGCCTAGCAGTGTACTGGCGTAGCAAGAAAGGCCATGTCTGGAAGTGTTCCAGGGGCCATGTAGTGCCAGGGACTAATCACTGGGCTCTACACAAGTGTGGCAGTTGCCCTATCACTTTAATTATCTACTGGCTCTAGAGCCTTGAAAGTAGAAACACAGGCATTGTCAACACACAGATGAAAATCAAGACCATTGCCAGTGTCCCAGAGAGTTCTCTCATGAGCTCCTCCAGTCTGGAATTCCCTCACCTGCCAGAGTCAACTACTTCTCTGACTTGTTATTATAAAGTATTTTAAAGCTGTGATTAGAACTTTATTTCCTCACCTAACCATGCATCCATGCTACAAGAAAGTTTCGATGCTGAGTCTGTTGAGCTTGAGCGTATATGTTACCAAAACCATATTAAAAGTATTTTTTACATGATCTGTGCAGTTCTGTCTTTTCGGGGAATCCACTTATTTGGAAGCCTTAGGGATCAGAGTAAAGAGTAGTATTCATAGCTATAATCTTTCATGATGAGAAGAATATTTTGGGGTTGGGGGCACAACTGCTGTACTCAGGGATTACTCCTGGGGCTCTGCTCAGGGATCTCAGGGGTTTATATGGGATATCAGGATTTGGTCAGCTGCGTGCAAGGCAAGCATTCTAGCTACTACCATTCTGGCTCCAATATTTCTGTATTTGAAGTATCTAAAATAAAATGTATTCATGTATTCCATCTTTAATGTAAGGACTTCATCCAGAGCCAGACTGTAATTGCTATGTTCGGGATTTTAAATGTACAGAAGCAGCTACAATCGTCTCAACAGTCACTGCAGTAAGGTTAGCTTTCGTATGACCATGGCTTTTCCTCTACCTCTTCCCCCCAAACCCTTTTGGAGCAAAATAACCATCATTTCCTCTGCACATATAGAAGGTTTGGGTCTTCTTCCCCAAAATGACATTGATTCCCTACAGTTCGTATTAGCCAGTTCCTGGGACTAATCTGAAAGAAATAAACATAGCTAGGATCTTATTTAACCCTAGCAATAGCATTGCATTCCCTGTGATTTTTAATAAAATCAGAATCTTCCTCTCTCTGCTGCCCTCCTCTGTGGCCCCAGGACTCTTACCGAAAGCAAGTGGTTATAGATGGCGAGACCTGTCTGCTGGACATACTGGACACAGCTGGACAAGAAGAATACAGTGCCATGAGAGACCAGTACATGCGCACAGGCGAAGGCTTCCTCTGTGTATTTGCCATCAATAACAGCAAGTCATTTGCAGATATTAACCTCTACAGGTACTAGGAGCATTTTTTTTAAAATGAGATGATGATCTGTAAGCGAGTTTTAAAGTTTTTGGGAGAATAATGATCCTGCACTATAGAAGATACTGATTTTTTTTTTATGAACAAGAATTGATTTAAGTTGTTTAATTTATATTAATTACCCCATTTCTCTTTAGGACTTATGGCTAGAATGTGTGATCCAATGAAGTTTGTTAAAAGAATAATTCAGAACTAGAGGCATTGGTGTCAGAGATCAGAAGGGAATTCAAGAGGGAAAAATGCCTCTTGAGAAACTTCTTCAGTCAGATATATGAAGAAATTGACAGGGTAAAGAGGAAAGTGGTGCAAAAGAACATAAGGTCTTTCTCCATAGAAAATGAAGTTTCAAAGTTTCAGTTTTGAAAAATCCTAGAGGGTCAAGGATATGGCTCAGTGGTAGAGCACCTGTCTTGCATGTGTGAGGCCCTGAGTTCACTTCCTGGTATTACAAAGCAAATAATTTAGGTGGGTTTCTTTGTTTGTTTTTGTTTTTTTTTTTTTTTAATTCGGTTTTTAAAATCTCATTTAAAAAAATGAGTACAACATTTCTCATTTTAAAAATTTAGAAGCAGACTAGAGTAATAGTACAGCAGATAGGGCACTTGCCTTGCATGCTGCTAATCCAGGTTCAATCCCTGGTGTCCCATATGGTTCCCCAAGCCTGCCAGGAGTAATTCCTGAGCATCGTCAGATGTGCCCTACAAACCAAAAGAAAAATAAAATCAGAAATTGAAGAGTTCAATAAAAAATAACGACAGTTTCCAAAGGAGAGAGGGAAGGGAGCGTGTGGTTAGGAGAAAGTGAAGGCGCTTGGGACGGTGTGGATGGCAGTTAAACTTGGGTGACGTGCCCTCTGTGGGAGATAGACACATCTCAAGGTATAAAGGTGGACTTCACAGTTCACAGAGTATTGGTAAATCAGTAAAAATTCTTTAAAGATTAAGTTTAAAAAATAAGAGTTCAAAAGACGGTTTAGGTTTCTTTTTTTTTCTTTTTCCTTTTTTTTTTTTTAATGATAATGGAATGAAAAGCGAGGACCCCACAGGACAAAGCAAGTGTTCTGCCATTAAGCCATATTAAGCTTTTATTAGGTTGTCTGAGACATAGTTGTTTTGTTTCATTTGGGTTTTGTTTTGGGGACTACACCTGGCAATGCTTAGGTTACTCCTGACTCTGCTCTCAGGAATTACTCCTGGCAGTACTTAGAGGGCCATATTGGGTCCCGGGAATTGAACACGGGTTAGCCATGTGCCAGGCACATCCTGTCTCATCTTCCAGGCCCCTGAGACACAGTTACTAGGAACATAGCCAGCACCAAAAACCTGGAGCAAGAGCACCTTTTTCCTGACTCCATATTCTTGAAGAAGTAGAATGGTTGAGAATTTAGATCTTATCAAGGTTGAAGCTTGAGTCCCTATTGCAAGGGATTTGAGGAGCAGGCTATTAAATTTCTTCTTCCACTTCCAAATCTGTGTTGTGGAAGTAATTGTGTCTACCTTATAGATTTGCTGTGAAAATAAAGCAACACTAAAAATCACTGAGAAAGTGCTTGCCAAAGAAAACGTTGGGTGAGAGTTCTGTCGGTAACTTTGATCCTGGCTTACATTGTTCAAAGAAGACATCTGCTTATAGGAAGCAATGTCCCCAAACCTGGATTTTTTCTGAACTGCTTTACTTCCCATTTTCCCTCTGGAATAATAGCAGTACTTCATAATTGCCAAGCACCCAAGAAATATCTAGAAGGGTTTTTTTTCTCTTTTGGGATCACACCTGGTTGTGCTCAGGGGTTACTCCTGCCGCTGTACTTAGGAATTACTTCTGCCAGTGCTCAGGGGGCCATATGGGATGCAGGGGATTGAACCTAGGTCAGCCACCAACTGTACTATCTCTCCAGTCCCCTAGAGGTCATTTTTCTTCTCAGATCTTATCACCTTCAACAAGGGACAAAGGCATTTCAGGTCCTGATGTTGTATATAGTCCAAGGGTAGAGTTGAGAAGTGCTGTATGGTAGGGGAGCCGTATGTCATATGTGATTTTAAAAATTAAATAGGGTTGAATTTAACTTTATTTCATTTCACAATGAATCATTAAGTATTCAGAAGCTTTGTTGACTCAGGGATCAGGTTGAACAGTGTTGTGGATATAGGGTGTATCTCCATGATTATAATAATTCTAAATTGACAGTTGATCAGTTGGGGGGAATAAAAAGGATTTTAGAGCAGTTGTTTTCAAACTACCATGTGGTATTTCTTCCATGTCACTGAAGAGAATGCTGTCATTTTCAGTGCCTTTAGTTCCTCTTTAATTTTGTTTTATTTTAGATCTTGGATTTGTAGCTATAATTTTGTTTGAAGGCTCTGGTGGACACCAGCCATCTAGAGAAATGTATATTCACTGCCAGAGCACTTTTTTTTCTTTTTTCTTTTTGTTTGTTTTTTGAGTTTAATCTAGACTGTGAATTTAGTTTGCTTTTGGTTTAGGGTTCTGGGGCCACACCTGGTTGTGCTTAGGGCTTACTCCTGCCTCTGCACTCAAGAATCAGTTCAGTGGGGCTCTGGGACCTTGTGAAGTACCACGAATTGAACCCAGGTTGGCTGCCTGAAAGGCCTGTGTATGTGCTTTAGCCTCTGGACTATCTTTCCAATCCTAGATTGTGATTTTTAATTGCCAAGTAAATCCGAAGCCAAACTCTTTGGAGAATCAACCTGATATTGGTTTCCCTGTGGCCTCTGTGTCTTTAAACCTGTCTTCTTAGTATGTAAGGTTTTTAAAGCTCTGTGTGTGTGTGTGTGTGTGTGTGTGTGTGTGTGTGTGTGTGTGTGTAGTAGTGGGGGAGAGGAATATGAGATACTATCAGGGCTAAATAAAGTGTTCTAGAATCTTTTCTTACCCTGCTCATTTATCTAAAAGTTTATTTTTTGTTTTGGGGACGCACCAGTGATGCTCAGGGGTTACTCCTGGCTTTGCACTCAGGAATTACTCCTGGCAGGGCTCCAGGGACCAGAAGGGATGCTAGGAATCAAACACATGCAAGGCAAGCATGTTCTTTCTTATGTTATAACATGTTCCCATTTTTTAGGGAACAGATTAAGCGAGTTAAAGATTCAGATGATGTACCTATGGTGCTAGTAGGAAACAAGTGTGATTTGCCAACAAGAACGGTTGATACAAAACAAGCCCATGAACTGGCCAAAAGTTACGGGATTCCATTCATTGAAACCTCAGCCAAGACCAGACAGGTAGAGTATAATTTTTGGCATCTGGGAAAGGTTTGTTTTGAGGACTGTTTGACTCTGCTAGAGATAGTGTTCACTTTTTTGGTTTGTTTTATGGTGCCAGGCATTGAATATTAACCATTTTTAATAATGTTCTAGAATCAGGCCCTGCATATATTTTGGTCAAGGGTGGACTGCGTAAGTAACAGTGGTCCCCAAATTCCAATGGTCCCATGAGAACAGCCTATCTTGAGTGTCTGTGCTGGCAGCCTTTTCTTTTCTGTTCAATTTAATGTCATATTTTGTTCTTGGCCCCTCAGCATACAAAGTACAACCCATGCTGTCCTGTTGGCAGCCAGAAACAGTGGGTCTCCACTGGCAGTGTGGTCACAGACATTTCCTGCCAGTCATGCACAGTGTTACTGGAGAAACCTTTTCCATCTCATGGTACTTAAAAACTAACGCAGACACCCAAGAGAACTCAAAGGGCCAATATATTTACTTTGACTCATTACTGCATGGTACCCCGAGCATTGTCAGACCAAACTGGGAGTAGTCTCTTAGCACTGCCAGATATGGCCCCAAGCCAGAAAGATAAAGATGTACACAACATACTGTAGTATGTATAGTTTTCTATTTGTGCCTTCGTGGTCTGTGAACTAGTTATCTTTTTACCAGAAAATGACTTCTCAGAACATCTCTGCATTAAACATCAACGAGGTATATATTTTTCTATATACAGGGAGGGCAGATACTCCTGACCTCCTGCACTGTTTCCCCAGCACTGCTTACCCATTTGTGTTTTGTATTGTCTGGGGTCCACACCTGCCTTGCTCAGGGCTTACTCATGGCTCTGCACTCAAGAGTCACTCCAGATTGAATCTCGGTCAGCATGGTACAATGCAAGCATCCTGCTGGCTGTACTTTCTCTCCAGCCCCCTTTATTTTGATTTGGGTTTTTAGGCCACACCTGGCAGTACTCCTGGGCTGCTCTCAGCATTGTGTTTGGTGGGTCACTCACTCAGCAGCGCTTGGGAGATCAAGCAGTACTGGAAATAGAATGCATGCAAGCCATGCACTCAGCCTTTGAGCTCTCTGTGGCTCCTGATCTTCAGATCAAACCCCAAATGAGGTACCAGATAGTACAGGAAATAATGCACTTGCCTTGCGTGCAGCCAGCCTTTTCTTGATCCCTAGTACCTAATCCCCCAAGATCTACCAGGAGTCATCCCTGAGCCCACTGAGGGAAAGATTCCTTTCTCCCCTGAGCCCCCATCCCCCCAAATAAATCAATCCCAGTGAATTTACCAAAATCTGGTATGACATTTTTATTCTAGCACAAATGTTTGTAAAACAAAGACCCTTGCAGATTTGTAAACCTTAGTTCTTTCTCCTTCATTACCACCTTGTGGGACATTAGCCACCCCCTCCTACTATGCATAGGTAATCTTTACAACTCTAGTTCTGCTGGGACCACACTACTGTCAATTTTTTTGTTGTTGTGTATTTTTATTTTTTATTTCGGGACCACACCTGGTGATACTCAGTGGTTAATCTTGGCTCTGTACTCAGGAATCACTCCTAGAGGGCCCAGGAGACGCTTTGGAGTACTGGGAGTGATACCTGGGTCGGCTGTATGCAAGACAAGCACCCTGCTTGCTGCACTGTCACTCCCGCCCCCGTTTTACATTTTTGAACGATATTTCTGCATCACAACCCCTCTTTAAGAATGCTGTGCCCAGTTTGTGGATTCTCCATTTGAAAGATTTGGGTTCCTAGGCATTCCGAGCTAGCACAGTGGTAGAGCATTTGCCTTGCACGAGGCCGGCCCAGCCGACTCAAGTTCGATTCCTCTGCCCCTCTTGCCAGAGAGCCCAGCAAGCTACCAAGAGTATCTCACTTGCACGGCAAAGTCTGGCAAGCTACCCGTGACATATTCGATATGCCAAACACAGTAACAAGAAGTCTCACAATGGAGATGTTACTGGGCCCGCTCGAGCAAATCGATGAACAAGGGAGGGCAGTGACAGTGATTTTTGCAAAACATGTTATTTGTGTGTGAGCCTGTTAATATGATTTACTCGGAATGTTATATTTAATGTTCCAAATCACCCTGATGTATCAGCTAACTATTTACTAATTGAAATTTTAAGTCCATCTGTAGTGTAATTGAGATAGCTTATATTTTGGGTGGTGTTCTTAAAAATGTCTTGACCATTTCCTTACTAAAATTGTGTTTAGGGTGTTGAAGATGCCTTTTACACACTGGTCAGAGAAATACGCCAGTATCGAATGAAAAAACTCAACAGCAGTGATGATGGGACTCAAGGTTGTATGGGGTTATCATGTATGGTGATGTAACAAGGTGAGAGTGTACTTTCTTGACATAATTATAAACCTTATTTAGCACCAGATAATTTGGAGAGTCGTTACTGTTATTTTTTCTGTTGCTATATATAACAGAGTTTCTGCTGACTTGTAAAATATTATCCTCATGGCATCCTTCTTGAAAGTATTAGGGTATAAACTATTTCTTAAAATAATTGGATACTTTACAGACATCACGATGTTTTCAATGCAATTAATTAAAAAGCATCGCTTACAAAAAGTATACTTACCATGTAATTGGCACTGTAGGAGTTTGCAAGATCACCAAAATTAGATGTTGTGATATGATGTGTATTCCTTTCTTACAGATATTAGAAAGTTCTAGCATCAGAAAAGAGCCACTGACTGTTAAGGTAGGACGCGTTTGGGATAGAATGAACTTCTGTGTCTATTTGTTGACTTGGTTTCACATGTTCTTCATGTGCCACTAAGATGGATTCTGCCTGTGTTTCAGCTGCACTGACATCTGGTCCCGACGTCCCTGGAGGAGGAATTTTGTTGCTCTCTTCAGTCTCGTAAAGAAGCTCCTGCTACTCCCCCACTTCTCATCAGTACAATATTCTCCTCTTGAAGGATCTCAGTAACTACCTCCTCACTTGGTGTCTGACCAGAGAAATGAACCTCCTGTCACTCCCCAATATCTTTCCACCCTGGGTTCTCCCTAGCACATACACCTCTGCCACCCCAGGATTTTAATCTGAGAAACAATTTGTAGTCTGAAACAGAAAACCAACCTAGAGACAGATTCTGTAGAAAACAATGTCTTGAGCTCTAAAGTAGCAACTGCTGGTCTTTTTTCCTTTTTTTTTTCTTCTTTTCTTTATTCTTTTTTTAAGGGGGCTTCTTTTTACATGTTGAACCTGGAAATATGTTCAGTTTATAGAAATGTCCAATTACTGTTGTGCTGAGAATGTAGTTGATATTGCTAATTATTTTTGTAATGTTGTCAGCTGTATTCTGTAAGACCGGCACCTCCTCTGTATTCCTACGTACGAAAGTGAGGAATGGATTTTGAGTTTATCTTTGTGCTCTCAACTTTCATGTCATTAAAACCAGTATCCACAACGAAGTGCCTTTTCCCTAAAAGCAGATTGTAGAATTCCTTTATGATACTTGAGAATAGATATCTCCAAACCATTATACAGGCCTCATTATATCTCAAAACCATCATACATAATACTTGAGAAGAATAGAAACTCATGTGAAACTAATTTCCAAGATGTTTATGACTTGTCTACCTTTGAGTGAAAAATAGATAAAAGCAAATGCCATTTCTTTTCTGTCTTAAGCTAGTTTAGAGACCTGTTTTGGGTTCTCAAAGATGAAAATAGAAACAGCTGTAATTGTAATTTTACTTAATTTTCACCAACTCTCTAGGTATGTTACCACCTACCAAATAATGTAATTGGTTACTTTAAGCTTACCAATAATCTGATGTTCAATGAGCTGCTATTTCTATTAGATTTGAATCATTAGGAAGCTTTACATTTGCAGGTGCTCAGAATTTTAAAAATTTGATACCATTTTATTGTTGTGAATAATGATTTTCAGACCTTGAATACATTAACAGATCCATTTTCACTGCTTATTGTGGTATCTTAATGATCTCTGTAATTGCTCTCAGTCCCCTTCTCTCTCAGCCTCTTTCACACGACTAGCTTTGATGACTTGAGGAATAATTTCAGTTAAGCATGGTGCTAATGGACCAGAGTCACAGTTTCAAAACTTGAGCAAGCCAGTTAGCATCATAGAAAGAAATTGTAACACATATTCTCATGTTTTGGCACCCTAACTCTAATTAGTTTCTAGCTAGTAGCTTTGCTTGATGCATGCTAATAGTCCCAGCAGGAAAGAAAACATCATTACAAATCCTTTACTGTGACTGGACACACTTGGTATCACTTTAGTGTTCTTAAGTATTGACTCCACACTCTCCACCCTCACTCTTGGCCGTTGTAGAAACTTGGTTAAACCCACTAATGCCATACCACCCTGAGCCCTTCTCATTCTGTCAAAGATAAACGCAGTTTTGTTTCTCATGTTTTTGAGAATGATGATGTCTTAGATCAAAATTTGAGTTTTTTTCTTCTGTTCTTTGAAGGGTTTTAAATGCTGTGGTGATTACCAGCAGTCTGTGCATACCAGATAATAAAGCTAATGAGTTTGTTCGAAAGCAGACGTCAAATCAAAACTGCAGTTCAAGAAGGGACTAGAAGATTTGACTTTTCCGTTTGCAGATAATTTCCTGTTAATTTTAATAAAGATAAACTTGAATAACTTTTGATAAAAGACTATTAAAAAAATTACCATTTCCCCCCATCTCTCCCCCAAGCCTTCCAGAAGTGATTCCTGAGTGCAGAGGCAATAGGAAACCTTGAGCACAGCCAGTGTGACCAAAAATTTGAAATTAAAAAAGAAATTTTTTTCTTTAATGACCCCCTTTTGTTCTGGCCTTCTAATTAATACTTACTAAATATTAATACTTACCATAATGGGTTTAAGGTGCTTGCCTTTCACACGGCTGTCTCTGGTTCACTCACTCACTCATTCCCACACGGTTCCCCAGCACCACCAAGTATGATCCCTGAACACTGCTGGATGTGCCGCTTCCCCCTCTTTCCCCCCCCAAAAGAAATATTGTACTAAGGTCCTTTTTTTTAACATGAACTTTCATATATTAAGCAAACACTGCATTGCCTTTACATGAATTCAGTAGAGGGGAGATCATATACTGTGCCCAGAGTATGATAAATCCAGAGAGTTGTATTCCTGAGTATCATTTTCTGTAAGCAGAAATATTCTGTTCCTTTGTTCCTGCCCCATCTTAGAGAATTGCTCTAATTTGCTGAAGCTGTATTAAGACTTACCACCTCAGTTGTCAAAATATGTTTTTAGGCTTCCTCTTATCTGCCTTTTCTCAAACACAGGGAAAGAGATACTCATTCAGGCTCTGGAACCATAGCCCTCATATGTACCTTCTGTTTTCTTGAGCTTATTCTAAGCAGATTATCTACACGGGGCTAGAATTCACATTTGAAATGTCCTTGTAATAACTTCTTAGTAAGATGTACTTAGATGTGAATTTTGGCACAGTTCAGTGACAAACTCCTAAAAACTGAATAGCTTCAGTTAGGTATATAAAATGGGTTTTTTTAATAGTATGTTTTTGTGACTGTTGAAAACAACCCTATTTTACCTCGAATTATGATTCTTTTCCCAAGTTAAGTGCCTGGCCCACTATGATCAGTTACATATTACTTTATGTGTGTTTGTGTTTAACAGTTGTTCTCCATGAGTATGGAAATAAGATACTGTATTTAAAGGCAACTGTGCTTCATCTAAATGAATCCGTCATATGCTGTGTGAGCTCCAACAGCTTACTATAGGCTCTCTCTCCATAACAGAATTTTAAAATCATTTTCACCTTAAGAGTACAGTAGGATCAATAGATAATTTAGTGGGCCCCGAATCTTACATCATCCTCTAAACTGCTGTGAATTTTTTGTCTTCACTTGGAGGCAAGGATAGAGAAACACTTTCAAAAGATATTTTTTTCCATTCCAAAATTTGTGACATTCTCATTTTTGCTTTACATTTTTGTTCATACTACAGCCAAGAACCAAAAATATAATGCATTTTGCTTCTTAAAGTTCATCTCTCTGCTAATAAATTGCAAGAAGCAAGGACAATTAGAGAAACCATTTAGGCTTTTGTTAACAGGAGACTAATCCTTGTACATTATGTTTAATGTTTGCTGTTTCTTTAAACAGTGCAATATGCCACAGAATTATCTTAAGGTGTTTTCTATGAGAATTGTTTTACAAGTGTTCTCTTCATCAGAATGGTTGTTGATCTTTTTTAAAATAAGACTGGTAGTTTTTAAAAGCCTGAGGACTGACCTAGAAGCAACTGTCTGAATTCTACTCTAGAGGAAAGGCGGGCTCCCAGTGGGAGCTTCATGGCTTGTGTTTCTGTGCCATCATATAGGAGTAAAATTATCAGTTGTGTAATTCTGCTGTTTAAATGGAAATATTGGCCTCCTTGCCCTAAATAAAAGGGCTAATAGTTTAAGTTGTTTTTATTATAAATTAATCCATCCTAATTTTTTTTAAGATTTGGTTGTATTTTTGTTCTTAAATGTGTAAAAATAAAAACTGGAAGTTCTTTGCTTAGTCATAAATCTGTTTTCCATGTAAGTTTCTTTGTTGAAAGTCAATGTGAATTTCAGACTTTGGGATGTCAATGTCAGCAGATCTGAGTTCCTCATATCTATATATAATATGTCAAAGCCTGCTTTGAACTCACCATGGAGATGATTTGTAATCACAGTTTCTAGCTATAAATCTGATTGTCATATGAAGTGCTTATAACTACCATTGGAAGAGCCAGAGATAGTACAGTGAAAAAGGACTTGCTTTGCACATGACACACCATGTGGTCCCTGAGTACAGAGCCAAAGTAAGACCCGAGTACCAGCAGGTTTGTCCCCTAAAGCAAAAACTACCATTGGAATCATTTATTCTATCTTTATATTACTCCAGAGTTTACCAATCTTGATAAAGCTAGAGAAGCTTGAATTTAGGAGGCAGAGAACATGGATTCTAACTATAATACTGCTCTGACTCATTTGAAGAATAAGGAAGTTTGAACCCTACTTGAGAAGGTAACTATTAAAGAATGATTTCTTGTATAGCTCAGGGAATATATCAGTTGTCAAGCACCTGTCTTGCAGGCTTGGAGTAGCAGATTTGATCCTCAGCACTGCCCCACATTGTAGAGAACATCCCTGCCAACATCACCACCAAGTGCCATCTGATCTCCATTTGCACTGCAACCAAATGTTTTATCTGGGACATCACAACACCAGCAAAGGGAAGCAAAGAGGGGAAGAAAGGACTGGGATGTGGCTTAATGACAGAGGGGTACTTTGCATGTATGAGGTCCTAGGTTGAATCCCCAGCACCATAAAAAAGATTTCATCCCAGGCTGGAATGATATAGTACAGTGGGGAGGGTATTTGCCTTACATGTAGCCAACCCAGATACAATCCCCAGCACCCTGTATTGTTCCCTGAGCCCACCAGGAGTAATCCCTGAACACCACTGGATATGCTCTCCCCACCCATTCCCACAGAAAAGATATCAGCATACTAATTATGATTGTGAGGTCCTTGATTTATTCTACCAAATAAATCTTTTACCCACTTTCTTAGGGACAGCTTTCTTAATGTGACTCACTTAAGCTTGAAGAATTACAACAATGCTATTTTTCTTTGAGTATAAATAGAAGTAAATACTATTAGAATATAAATAGTAAAATTACATAATATTTAATAGGTGTTAGTGCAATGGATAGGGTACTTGCCTTGTGCACAGCCAACTCAGATTTCAATCCCCAGGATTTCACATGGTCTCCCAGCACCGCCAGGAGTAATTCCTGGGTGCAGAGCCAGGAGTGACCCCAGGTGTGGACCAGGCTTTTTTTTTTTAACATGGAAAGATAAAATAAGGGGGGGGAAACCCTGTTGTGGACTTTTATGTACCGATACCTCTTCCCCTTAAATTGGTCGTGTGTTTCTCTTGCCAGATACATGATCCTTTTGACATTTGACCCTCTCCCATTATAAGTGAAAGAGAGGAAAGGATGTTTACTTATTTTCTATCACTGCTGCTATTCTGTTCAGCAAAAAAGCCCCCAGGGAGACAACTGTTGAAAAAGTAGCTTAGAATATGAGGTAGCCTGTACATCAACGTGCTATTAAATCTCTTTTCTTATAAATAGTATTCAAGGTCATTAAAATGCCACCTAGTTGCATGAGTTATTTGATATCCACAGATACATGTAAAGGAGCCAAGAAGCCACGCAAGTGATCATTTCACAAAACCACTTCAGAGACATTTTAGTTAGATAACAGAGCACAGAGTCCATGTCCACTATCTAAGGATCTGGGGTGCTTTCAAAGTAACTGGGTAGTAATATTTAGTCCTGTACTGCAAGCGGCCAACATGGCCGACCCGAGTTCGATTCCTCCGCCCCTCTCGGAGAGCCCGGCAAGCTACCGAGAGTATTCGATATGCCAGACACAGTAACAACAAAGTCTCCAATGGAGACGTTACTGGGCCCGCTCAAGCAAATCGACGATCAACGGGAGGGCCTTTACCTTTACCTTTTTACTGGAATTCTAGCACATAAGAAACACAGATGGAACATTGGAAAATAGAGCATTGAATGCTTCAATACTTGTAGCTATATATATATATATAATTAAACATATACATAAAGTACTAAGTACACAAACTTGAACATAGATCCAGTGAATTTCCTTTTTTTCTTTTATTTCCCTTTTTTTTTTTTTTGGATCTGCACTCAAGAATTACTCCAAGTGGGACTGAGGGGGGCATATGGGATTCTGGGGATCGAACCCTGGCTAGCTGTGTGCAAGGCAAATTCCCTACCTACTGTACTATTGCTCTGACCTGAATTGATTATTCTTACCTGGAGCCTTGTATTCATAATTACTTCATACTTGCACCTTAACCTGCTAGAGCAGGTTGGTAAGATTTTATTTTTTTATTTCAACAAAAAACTACTGAAGACTTGAGGGAGCTCGGGGAATTGGACTACATACTTTATATGCGGGCTGGAGCGATAGCACAGCAGGTAGGGCGTTTGCCTTGCACGCAGCCAATATGGTCTTGATTTTGATTCCTTCGCCCCTCTTGGAGTGCCTGGCAAGCTACCGAGAGTATCTCGCCTGCCCGGCAAAGCCTGGCAAGCTACCCGTGACGTATTCGATATGCCAAACACAGTAACAAGTCTCACAGTGTTACTGGGCACACGAGCAAATCGATGAACAATGGGGAGGACAGTGACATGGACAGTGACAGTGACTTTATATGCAGAAGACCCAGGTTGCCCTGTCACAATCTGGTCCTCTGAGCACCGACCAGGAAGTAGCCCCTGAGCACCACCACCAGATACTTAAAAACAATTCAGTCTCTTCTTAAAGGTAGTATAAATACCATCAGTTTATAGAGGCTATAAAGTAAAAAAGGATAACACCTATGATATTGGAGATTTTTGTGATTTTAAATGTTTGTAGAGACAGCGTAGCTCCAAGCCTAACAGGATATGGCTGGCTGTAATTTAGCAGCTGCACATTAGAGCCTCTCATATAAGATCCTGAAATACTATCCAGGTTAGGAAAAGCAGTCTTCTTGAATGGCTGCTGTGGAAGGAAGTGAGAAAATTGGCACCATGGACTCATTTTAAGAGCTTGAAATGTGCAGGTTGCAAATGATATTTAAGTCTGAATGGGAATTTGCACATTATTTTTTAAGCATCTTGGTATAAACCAATTCACATTTACAACTGAGACCCGACATCTTGATAATCAGTTGAAGGAAGCGTAAAGGCATCTTGAGAGTTAGAGCAAGAACTCTCATATATAATGCTTGTTTTGACTGTCAGTTTGAGAAATCTGACATTTAATATTAAAGCCAAAATGAAATTCGAGCATGACCTATGTCCTTGCTACCAAATCGATGCTGCGGTTGTCCAAGTCATTCTGAATGTTCCTAGACCAAGATAGTCCAACGGGACCACAGCATAGACACAAGGCCACCCCACAGAACGGGGTTAGGAGGCTCCCTTGAAGGAAACAGGTTAGAAAGGGGCCATGGTAGGAAAAAGATTGAGAAATGTCACATAACTGCTGACATTTCCTCTCAGAAAGTGCCATTTGGGATCCAAAGTCACATAACCAAACATTTTTTTCATTGGCTAGGTTAATTTTTTCCTAAGACACTCCTTTCTAATTTGCTTGACAGGTTTTCATGGAAGACTTCCTGTGTGCCCCACACCAGTTGAACCAGGAGGACATCAGTGCGAGCCAGGTGGACGTCAATGTCTTGTTCTTTTTTTCCTATTCTCTGAGAAGATGAGATCTCTAAAACATAGTTTCTCTTCAAATTGAGAATTTAAGCAGTGGAGGGGAGAGAATAATTGAAGATGGAACAGGAGAAAGAGGAGGTCTGGATCTGTTCCTGAATCACCATAGCAAGAGTGACTCCTGGTCCTCGTGAGAGATGAAAGCAGAGCATGTAGCAGAGAATGAATGGAGCTTACAGCCTTGACACATTATTTTTTAGTTCAATGCAGCTAACTACATGAGTAAATGAGAAGGGATAAAGGAAATTAGAATTTAGGGACTGGAGTGGGAATAAAGTGGGTAGAATGCTTGCTTTGCATGCGGCTGACCAGGCCCGGTTTGATCCCTGGATTTGTTCGATTTGCTCGAGCAGGCCCAGTAACGTCTCCATTGGAGACTTTGTTGTTACTGTGTCTGGCATATCGAATACTCTCGGTAGCGTGCCGGGCTCTCCGAGAGGGGCAGAGGACTCGAACTCGGGTCGGCCATGTTGGCTGCGTGCAAGGCAGACGCCCTACCCGCTGTGCTATCGCTCCAGCCCTGGACATCTCATATTATCCCCACCCCACCCATCCCCTCCCAAAAAATTATAATTTAGTTTCAATTAGTGGTCGTTTCAAAGGAGGAGATTTTTCACTCTAAGACTGAATTGCTTAACCTGTGTTCCGTCTGCCATGTCTCTGGACACGGCCTTGCATCACCCCCTGATTTTCTGAGAACTCTCAAGGCCGCTTTCTGGTCAAGCCTCTGTTAAAACGAAAACTCGCTCTGTTGCTTTTTGGTTCCAAAGCACTCGGCTAATCCTCAGTAACAGGCAGGCCAGCACAAGGGGCCTTTCGAGAAAACAAGATCCTCTAAAAATGGATAGATTTATTCCAGCTCTAAACCCAAGCTTCTAGTTTCAAACCCTATGTTTTGGGGATGCTACAACTCAAAGCCTTTGGAGGATCCTGAAGGAACTTTGAAGTGTTAGGAGGTGGGTCTCAGCTCTTCTCTTCAAACTGGAACAATTTCACCTTTCATTTTCAGATTCCAGACAAGACTTCCTAAGTAAACGTTTAAAGACCACTTAGTTCACCAATCTACCCCTTGCTACTCTGTAAAGTTTGGTTTCGCTGGGTCACATCATCTTCACCTCGGAGAGCGAGACTGGCCCCAAGATCCACATGGTCAATATTCACAATATCTGCAATTGTTCTCTAAACAATGGTGAGAGATGCTTGTTGGCCCCACTCCAGAGTCAA